ATACTATAGATTCTAACTAATAAGCCGGCTGATAAGTTCAAACGAACAGGCTGATCGTGGACGGCCAGACCCAGGTTGCGTGGTCCAAAGCGCGAGTGTATTGACGGTCGTCGCTTTGCTAGCTTTTGGGCCTGTTCGCTGGTTGGTGCTGGTGCTGGTTTGGGCTGGCTGGTGCTGGTTTTTTGTGAGAGGAAAACACTGTTGGCTGGCTGGTTTGGGCTGGCTGAAACCAACAAGCGAATAGGCTCTTTGACTGATCGACAGCATGCATGCGTCAAGGGTGAATGAAGCCTTGCTTTGCATCTCATGTGCATGCATGCTTTGCACGGTCAGTCATGCCGTTGGAGAACACGGCACCGTCCATCCGGAATCGTTGCATCTTTAACAAGAGAACTCACGTTTCGATATTACATAAATGAAAAACAACCAATACCGACTCAGCGGTGCAACTTAGGTGGCCTTGCGTCTTCGCGGCTGCCTGGGCGAACCCGTTCGGCCGTCCGCGAAGAGCGCGTCCAATGCTTCGGCGTTGGACACAGTCAGGTTCTCGTCGAAGATCCTGTCAAAGGCCTCCAGTTCCAACGCGGATGGCGATGATGGACCATTAGTGTAGCCCATACGCTGCATGATTAGGACCTTACATCGCTTGAAAGCGGGTACTCGAGAGAGGCTTTGGGCCGCCAACCGCCTGCTTTGTCAAGGCAACACCGCCTTCGCAGGCGGCTGCTTGGGAGACTCACGAATCAGCGGGGAATCCCCTTGCGCACCACTTTCTTGGTGAAGTTGTGAACTGCGTGCATAAGTTTTCAACGCATTTCTCTTCTTTTCTTCCACCTCAACATAAATTTGATACGCCATCTTTTACAACCCATTTACATCATCTTGTTTATTGCTCTAAAGTATAGACGACGATGATTCTTCAGGGGAAGCAAATCGTTTGCAATAGAGACTTACGACGTGCTTGGTTCTGCAGGGCAAGGCTGCACTCGCCTCGCCTGCCTCACACGGCACCGAGGTGCTCATCAGGGCAAGAGAGTCAACTCATTAGCTCACCTAAGCCAACAAGAAAAAAAAATTATCCACACAAAAATCCAGACACCTTGTTCACTCTGATTCCTAGCTTGGCGAGGTGATACATTGCTCGGCAAAGAATCAAGCATGCTCTTATCCTTCTTCGTTCACAAGGGTCATGGACTCATGGGGCTGCTCTGCTCCACTCCACCTCACCTCCCCCAGGCAAATTCTGGCGAGCTGCAGCCTGCAGCAGAGCCGTGAGTCGGTGGGTTGTCGAGGCCTTGAGGAGGGAATTGCGGAGTATACTGTGCTACACACGGTTCGCGCGCGCAGCGTTTCCGTTCATGGGATGCGAACGTGAACGTGCGATGCGACATGTCGCCGGCCGGGACGTGGCGCTGAGCCGGCGCCCAATTCACCGTCGCGTGCGCGCACGGGGACCCGGGCCGCACCGCACGTACGCCGCGCCCCGTCGGCGATTCAGCGATTTCTACCGACGGATCCCGTGGGGCGGGTGGGTGGAAGGAGCTGGTCTTCCTTCCGAGTTTCGGATAGCCACCCTTTCCTCTGGCGGAACGGGCACGGCAAGCGTCGCGAATCACGAAAGACAAGTTAGTGGTCGCATTTTCGCTGTCCCAGCCCAGTCATGCAGCTGAAACGGGCGAGAGCGAGCGAACGGCGGGCAGCGAGGCGGGCCCGGTCACGAGCGAAAGGTGGCGAGAGCGGCGGCACCAGGCTTTCCAGGGGAAGGCACGGCCAGACGGGAAAACGGGCAGGAGCGGCCGAGCGGGGGATCGTTTTTCGGTGGCGGGCCCTGTTTTCGGCGCAGCCGTCGCCGATGCCTTTCGGTTCAAAGGACCAAGTTGAGGCGGCGGCTAGGCGAGCACGTCATCAGGTGAAAACAAAAAGGATGACTGGCACGATTTGGGATTTTGTATGGGACACCATGCGGCATGCGCCGGTGTTCACGTTACCTCTAGTAGTACTAGAAAATTTGCACACCCATCACATCCCTGGAGGCCTGGACAACAAAACGTCATTTGCACTTCCGGTAGTGATGACTCCGTTCCAACAAGGTCACAATTGCTGAACTTCGAGACCATCTTTTTTCCGAGCAGCCTAGAGAATGTGTACTAGACTATTCGATGGTGAAGCTTTGGTATTTGCCTGTTTGGTTCGCACTGTTCATCACACTTTTCCCTTGGAAACGAAAGATCTGATGGGAGATTGGTATGTCGACCCCTACTTTCTTGCTGGAGGAAGGAGGATATTCACATCATATGCTCGCCCAACCTCACCTACGAATACTTCTGTTGTAAAAATAAAAACAAGTGCTGGTCTCTAGCCAATCCTCGGGGGAGTGTTCGGCTGAGCAACAAGCCGGCTTGTTTTTTCAACTGGAGCAGTGTTTTCTCTCACAAATTTTCAGCATGAACAGTAAAAAAATCATTCCAGCCGAACACTCCCTAGCTAGATGCATTATTTGGACAGTTAGACCAAACAGGACATGGCTTACCCCAGGTTTTCAAGTTTAAAATCCGGCTGGTCATCACCTCAATTCAGTATGCTTTCGCATCCGCGGATCAGAAGGGTACACGAATCATCCCCATCGAATGGGCATGAAAAAAAGAAAGAAAGAATGAAACGAACGAGATCAATGGCCATGGCAGTAAGAATGGCAATGGCCGCTCTCCTGCGCCCCCGCGCTCGCGCAGGGGGTCCGGGCCTGGGCCTGAAGCGGCGCCGGCGGCACGCCGCAGGCTCTCCGGAGCTCCTCGTACCTGCTGAGGTCGAAGCCCCTGGCCCGCATCACGCGCTTCTGCTTGGCCGCGAACCGGCTCTCGAAGAAGCCCTCGAACGACGGCTCCTTCTTGGTGCGGAGGAAGAAGGCGTAGCCGGCCATGAAGTACATGGACGTCACGTAGAAGCAGATGGGCTCCATCACGTCCCACGACAGCTCCCAGAAGGTGAGCCGCATGAACCCGGCCGTCTGGACCACCAGGTACGCCAGCCCGCACCACAGCTCCCGCCGCACCTGCGCCGCCGCCGCGCGGTCGATGTCCGCCTTCTGCGCCTCCATGGCCTTCAGCTCCTCCTCCCTTGCGGGGTCGCTGCTCTCCGCAGCGACGGGCAGCGCTTGCCGCACGGGAATGGCATTCTCGATTGCCTTGACGACCTGCGGTTGTCATCAGAGACAAGACAAAACGTTCCCACGATTTACTTGGCTGCTCTTCTTTTTCAAGGAGATCCATCAAAAGAAAGAGCAATGCTGATAGGAGAAGATAGCATCCATGAAAGACCAAATGAAATGCAAATGCCTCAACCTTTGGATGTTATATATGCTTATGCAGTAGTAAAAAAAAACAATACAAGTGCTTCAAGCTAAATGCAAATATTATTATGTTTTTGGAAGTAAGAAACTTTTTGCCTCATGGTTTGCAATAGATAAGCAGTTTGCACAAGAAAATAATGCACATGCTGACGTGGGAATGGCTTGTGCAAGGTATAAGATTGTTTAATTGGACATGGAACATGTATGGCGTGTAAAGAAAAATGCAGTTAATTACAAGAGTAAAGTTTTCAAAACTGTCCTTTCTGCAACAGCCCACCACGGCACCACCACTACCATAGGGACATATTGCCAAATTGTCTGGCTGTAGCCACCAAACACAACTAGATCAATCAAGATTTTTTTTTAAAAGGTTCAAGGTGCTTCTAGTGCTGCCTACGAATGCTATGACCCAATCTGGCTCACATGCCATGTGAAGTGTTCACCCAACTTTGTTTCGGTCACCCAAAACAAAAGAAAAGTAGATTAGCCATAACTTTTGAGCCCTGCATTATTAGTATCCTATTATTCACATGGATAGTGACGCTAATGCATTCAGCTAGAAAAAAAAGGGATTAGCAATAATAAGTTAGTAACTAGAACATGGTCTGATAAACTTAGGATGTAACTCAAACAGAAAAGGTGAAAAAAGCTATTTCTATCTGATGTAAAAAATAGAACTCCCATAGTTCTTTAATCAGAGGAAAGATATTTTCAAACAATGAACTTTTTGTGGTTTACTCCCCCAAAACCAGAAGATTCCCCTACGCTAAATCAAATCAAAAGTAGCATAAACTTGCAAATTAACAATTTTACCCTACAATAAACTAGCGACAAGGACACCTCATGATAGTCTAGCTGGTGTCACGATTGCCAGAAAGAGCAAATGTACTGGGAAATAAGTTATTGGGCATATATGTATTAGTTAACTGACAGCTTTTTTTTTGGGCTATATATACGTAACTAATTTTTATACAAATTGAAAGGTTCATCATCATCAATTCAACCCTCCACCACTGGCATGTGATGGGGCTACATCTGTAAATTTTCTATTGAAACACTATACTTTGCCAATATATAGTTACCAAATGAAATACTAACTTCTTTTTTTCTCAAAATTAATGGTGCCCAGAAGAAGGCCAGGTGAATTCGCCTCATGTTCATTCATCGGAGTTAAGATTCAGATTTTTTTTTCCAATCATGAGGTGTACCCTCTCAGATTTGGAGAGAGGGGTTAAATTTAGTTTTTTTTTTCTCTGGTTTTTGAGAGAAGAAAAACTCCCATCTTGGAGCGGAGTAAAATTGCCCAAACTTTGGGTGGCAACATCTCTTACTATCGTTTTAGAACAGCGCCCTTTCTTTGAATCTTTTCCTGTTGGGAAACATAGAAAAAAAAACACGCGGAAAGTCTCATCAGATCTCTGTGGTTTCCAAATGAAAATCTCTACCCGGTCGCCCGGAAAGAAATTTATCAGCACACAAGAGAGAAGTAAAGAAACCAACGTGTCTTTTCTCTTTAAGACATCCTAACTGCAAAAGCAAAAGCTAGACAAGGGAAAATTTTTGAAGAGAATTCAAGCAACATTAAGCTGATGGATGGATTTGAATTGAAATGAGCAAGATAAGATAAGAAGATGGGGGCGAGAGAGAATCGTACCATATCGGGCCTGAGGAAGACGGTCTTGCCGAGCACGATGACGGATCCGGACTCGTCGAGCGCGCGCGCGACGGAGGGCCCCGCGTCCGGGCCGGCGGCGTCGCAGCAGAGGCGCAGGAAGTCGGCGTACGGCACGGCGCCGGCGCCGGACGCCCGAATCCGCGCGCGCGCCGCCTCCATCTGCGTGGCGCGCAGCACCTTGCGCGCCTCCTCCACCGTGAGACTCGCCGCCGCGGGCAGCGCCGCGTCCGTCGGCTCCCGCCTGGCCGGCCCCGGAGCCGGCGCGGCGGGCGGGACGAGGCCGTCGAGGTTGATCCGCGGGAACGCGAAGCCGACCCCGAGGTCCCGGATCCGGTCGGCGCCCAGGGGCATGAAGCCGCGGTCGGGCGGCACGGCGGGGCGGAACGCCGGCTGCTCCTGCAGGAACCGCCGGAGCACAAACGTCGCCGGCGACGACGACGACGCGAAGCGCTGCGCCACGGCTCTCCTCAGCACGGTCGCCATTGCTGCTGCTTAATGGGCCGGCACCAAGCTACTCCGATTCGACGGGATATGGATGGAAGAATGAACGGGCTGTAATGTAATCAATCAATGGAGGTGGGGGGTTGCAGGCTATTTATACCGCCCACGCCACGATGACAAGGACGCGACAGACGATGGCAGCCGTTTGCCCCGCTTGGGCGTTGTTGGGTCCAGCTCGCGTTCCTATTCCTACTTCCAACACGGGTCTCAGCGGATCAGCACGGGTAATTCGGCGTCCTGCATTCCTGTCCTTTGGGAGCCAGCTCAATTTACCAATCGTTTTGGTCATTAATCCACAAATTAAAAAGGCACACTTAATGCGCCTCAGGAAAACATATTTCATCATAATCAACTCAATCAGTAGAACCTAATGTTTTCATATACTTATATATTTTTAAATTTTCTTTGTGGATATATTTTCTTTACTACGCCTATGATACCTTTTTTCAAAAATGTTTTCTTTGCAAACAGTTCAATTTCTATGTGGATTTCTCGTAAAATTAAAGGCTAGTACAGCTAGCTCGTACTCTTCGATTCGAAGCGTTTTAAGTATTTCATATTTATTAAAAACCGAGCTAAAAATTGTTAGGCGAATAAAGAAAATACGGAGTAAAACTATCGAGCTCACTGCGTGTTAGAACAATCTAGAAACGTGTATGGCGAGCGCGTGTGTTTGGTCGGAGTACGAGATGTAGGAGTGCGTTTTGGCCAGAGGTACTTCGTAGTTTGTTCCGTGTTGCAAAATGAAAATCTCTCGCGGACGTCCAGCTCATGAGGTCATCGTCGTGCAAACGAGTGAACGACTCGCTCCCAGTCTCCCACGTACTACTCCTACGTTACTGTCGAACGGAACGGCGAACGCTCTGCTCACACGTCTACTTGGAGCCCAGCCCAGCCCAGCCCATGATAAAATCGTGCGAGGCGTGGCAAAACAAAAGTGTGCCAATTGCGTACGTCATATATAGCACACGATAAGATGCGTATGGGGTCGTATACAAGTTTTACATTTTAAATTTGAGTCTCCACGCAAAAGGTATGGATAATTGGATCGGATCACCAACACGAATTGAGATGTGAACGAAGTCCCTTTGCGATAAAATAAGATGCTCTTTTTTATATAAATGGTTGACGTAAAAGAGAACCCTAGCCACACACAAGAAACTTCGTGGCTCCATGATTATTGAGTGGCTTGGTTGAAGCATGTAAGCAACATTGTCCAGCTATGATAAGCACGGATTAAAGGACACGGATCAAAGAGACAGTATACAGCGAGAATCGAGACGACTCCTGCGTTATGGCACCCGCTGTGATTAAAGCCCTATTTGAATCCACTAGCAGCTAAGAGCATCTCCAAATGTTCCAAAAAGAAGTTCTTCAAACCAATGAGTTTCTTGTATTATTGCCAAAAAAAAGGTGAAAGCATATTTGTTGGCTTCCTTCGTTTTCATAATCTCACTCCCAAAATATAAAAAATCAGTCTCACGTGAACATCCTACGCTCGTATCATCGTTCAATAAGCTTGATGACTAACGACGTAGTATTGATGAAAACATAATGAAATGCAAGTACGCGTCTAGTAAAATCTAAAATTTCATTAAATGTGTCATACTCTCTACTTCTCAAATGATAAGTCATTCTCACTTTTTTAGAGAGTCAAAGCATCTCAAGTTTGACCAAACTTATATAATAAAATAATAACATTTATGATACCAAATAAATATCATTAAATTCTTTATTAATTATGTTTTCATAATATATCTATTTAATATCATAATATTTGTAATTCTCTACATAATTTTGGTCAAACTTGAGACAAGTTAGATGAATTAAAATATTTTATTCTAATTGTATGATTTGTTATGTATATAAGACATCAATAATATGGCTAGAGTTTTGTCATCATATATAGACTATTAAAATATATATACTAAGTAAAAAATTATGGTTGTCCTGGGGGCATTGGCCCCTCCCCTGGCTCCGCCCTTGGTGGCAGAGAAGGTCGGCTTTCACGGCCGGCAACTTCTTTTGACGCTAATAACTCCTACATAAAATTAGCTAGTTAACAATTAGCTAGGTTGGTCTAACAATTAGCACCGTTGCGCGACGGTGGAGGTAACACGTGCGGCGTCGGTCCGATAGCCAGCGGTGTCTCTAGGAGGAGCGGAAGCTAAGAGATCTTAACCCTTCAGATACCATATTGGAGGATTAACTCAACTCTATTTCCATTAATCATAAGTGGGTTTATATAGAGATTACATGGGGATACAAAGAGATAGGAAAACTGAAAATAAAGAGACTACAACTCTTAATATTCTAACATATAGAAATTTAGGAAGGGGTATAGATGGCATCGTCGTGCAAGAGTTTAGTTAATATAGTACAACACTAGTCTTGAATATATAACATGTCAGATCCACGTTAACACTGAGTTAGCATATGCCACGTCAGTGGATTGAGCGGGTCAAACCCATTTAGACTAGTGTTGAAACCCGACACAAGTTTAGAGACCCAAAAGTCCAAAAATAAAAGTTTAGAATCTAGATCGCGTCATCTTCCAAGTTTTAAAACCGTTCATACATTTTTACCCTAATTTGTTTTTGTTTGGGGTTGACATGGTATGTTTTACCTCATTTTTCTTGAAAATGAGGCCGTTGATATGTGGTTTGTGCCCTGATTGACAAATGCAAGTTTTAGTTGGTGATGCTGTCCTCGACGATCAAAGAAGCATTCTTTAGAAAAACTGATCTACAATATTCATCCAAATTGACGGTCAAAATTTCAAAATTTTTGGCCAACTTTATGGAAACATAAAGTATTTTATGACTGATGTGGTACTCAAAATATCAGAAAACACTTATATATTCTTGTAAAATTACTGACCTCTATTTTTATCTTGCAGCTGCCTGCGTGAATCGATTCTTTTGTGCCAGGTGCATATATGCCGGTATTGTCGTACGTACTGTAAAATGGAGTGGGAAAGATTGCAGCCTCATGTTTCCCGTCCTTGCAGTACAAACGATCTTGGAGGAATATTTTATATGTTGTGCTGACTGCCTGACTGGCACGGCAAGCCAGAGACATCTTTCTCGTTGTCTCGTATCCATGTCTAGGGATGAGCATGGCACATGCCTGCAAGAACCTCATCGATCTGCCCCGTCAAAAAAAGGCCAGCAAACTACAGAGCAGAGGCGTACAGCCGGCCTGCCGGACTGCCGGCCGGTGTTGCCGTCTCTATCTTTGGATTGGAATCCTGTGCGAAATACCGAATGCAGATGAGAAATGTTGAGAGGATCGGGTTGATCACATAATTGAAGCATCGTCGGCATGCATTTTGGCCTGCTTGATCTATATGTGCCTTGTATACTCCTCTAACATGTTGATCGATATGTATATCTGAATATCTCCCATACGGCATCCAGCCTCGAAGCTTTCCGATAGAGCAGTGCAGCACTACTCTTGTAAATGTCCCGGCCATATACAGCCTTCCCTGATGCACGCCTACCTCTGCTTTCCTGATAAAGAAAAGATATCCAAATATCCGAATCCGATGCATCTAGTAAGCTCTTGAGCACCTTTCTCTTGTTTAACGGCAGACCAAGCTCCAACATGCGTCCTGGAAAATATATGCTCAGCCTTGGACCAGCACCACACGACCGGGCTCGTGCGGGTGCCAGTCCGTGTCCACCGCCGCACGCAACTCGTCAACCGGGTGACCGTGACCCGATCGACCCGCGCGCGCCCGTCAACTACTCTACCGGGCAGTGCGGCACCGGCACGGCACTGCCCCGCGGCCCGACCGCGCGGGCAGGGAGGGACCGCTCACGCAGTCACGCCTCACGCCGTCACGCGTCCCCTGGCCGCGGAAAAGGTCCCGGACCGCGCGACGCCTTCAGCGCCCGCCGCTTGCGGTCACCGACGCCAACAGGTGTCGCGGTCGCGGCCCGTGTGCCGCGCGCCGACCCCGCGCGCCCGCGGGCGTGGGACACGCGGTCACCTCGCGCACTCGCATCGCATGAACCTGATCGGCTACCCGGCGTTGCATTCCACTCGCATAGCGGCAAAAGTGTACTCGCTTTCTGGAATTGAAGGGACTTCATTAATTCATTTCTGTGGCGTATCCTGAACGCACGCACCATCTGCGCAAAAGAAATGTGACAAAAATCCTTTATCCCGGCAAATGTTTTTGGGGAATGGGGTAAAGCCGGTCGTCTATATCACGCATGGGCGGCATGGCCATGTCGCACAGCGGAGGAAGCGAGATGACAAAAACACGGCGTGGATCGAGGCCAAGGTGCGGCCTCCCCCGGTTGCCGATTTCTCTCTTCCAAAAGAATGGATGGATGGGTGCGTGCGCGTCCAAGAAAACGGGCCGGGTACGGTGTCAACGTGGCTCTTCAGTCTTCACTCCTTGCGCGCTAGCCGCTAGCTGCACGTGACACCTGCTGACCTGCCCATGACTGCGTTGCCATGCCTCGCCAAAATACTTACGCTGCTCTTCACGGCTAGCTGGCCACTCCTTTTTTTAGTTTTGCTGACTTGATGAACGTGAAGCGTACGTATGCACTAAAATCAGCAGGGGGACGAGGAACATGTGTTTCTCTCTGCACAGGGACATTTTAATTTTTCACCGAGGGAAGAGACAAATGGCGGTGAAACGATGTGAGCTTCCCGGAAGAGCGCTCCGGACATGTTGGTTGCGCTTTGCCAGTAGTCGGTAGATGCAGATGTATCTACAGTAGGTAGGAGAGTAGGTCATAGGTGGATGCATACAAAGCGCCGTTCTCGATAGTCAGCCGATAGTGAGAATAGTACTATGCAAAAAATAATGCTGGATTAGATTGTTTTGTGCGTACCGGCAGGCGGCAGCAGTGTACTGCTCCGTATGCCGGTGGATGCCATGCAATACCTGCGCATATGCTGCGTGCAATACCGCGTTTCCTTTCCAGCAGCGGCATATTCCTGTAAGATATGCTCACTCGTAG